CAACAGCATCGCAAGACATCTTAATTTGAGCCAGTTTTTCCCAGTCAGTCGAATTCTGTACCCAGAGATAAATTTCGTAAAAAAAATTACCTTCCGATGTGGCTCGACTCGACGTAATTTAGCAACTCTGAAGATTTTTTCCAAAGAAGTTGAGTGATTGAAATAGGTTCTCTCGCTGAAGAAGAGGAACGCAACTGGTTAACAGAAGGATGAAAAATGGCCGTTTTGAATAACAACGTATTTCTAAAGAATTCCTGACGGACATCAGTGAGAAATGTTGAATGACACTTCAACATGGGCGCGTGGTTCCCTAGTGATTCAGCGAGAGGATCTAGTTAAAATACGCGGAACAACAGCAGCAAAAAATTCAAATTTCTCATTGTCGCGTAGAAAATGATGGAAAGCAATAGTGTCACTCCAATCGAATTCCCCAAGGAACTCCTGCTTTCGAAAATGGAACATCCTATAGTAGACTATCCTTTAATTCCTGGAATAATATAGAAATATTGGAAAACCTCGGTGTTATAAGTTTTGTCTGCTAAGGATTTGGATTTTCACTCAGAATTGCTTTGGGTTTGGGTGCGTTCTCCGCAGGACTTTGTCGTGCGAGCCATCTACTGGGCTGGTCAATTGTTCATTCTTGAACCAGGTGCCATCTTCAGCAGCATACAGGTGATAGAAAATATAGAAAAGAAGATGACGATTGTGTGGTTTTTGTGTGGTGAGGTGAAGATTCTGGGAAGTACCTGCGATTCGGCGTTGTGTCTCCCAAATAAGGACAGTAAAGTATGTCCACCAAACTTGTCTCAATGAAGGAAATGGATAACAAAGCCAAGGTGCAAAAAAATAGTAAATCCGGTTCTAATACTTCCTTTGTTATCTTGGAATTAGAGGCACAGTTCGAGAAAATTTTTGGTGCCGTTTTATGTAAATGATCGAAAGTGTTGCTACAAAATAGTACATCGTTGCTGAAGAAAAAGGGAAACCTTTGCATTTCACGAAATAAAGCGTTTTTTGTAGTAGTTAATTTTCGGGATTATGATTAAGAGATCGTGATAGTGAAAAGCGGCTTGTACGAGATATTCCTCTCTGCAGAGGTGTGCTACTGCGTACAAATTGGCTACAATATGCCTGCCTTCAAAAACTGCTTTTTTTAATCGCCAAGGACTAAGACTGCATGCAACTGTAATTGCTTGGTCGCATTTTTAATAAATGTGCACCAGTGTAAACGGTGTGATGTATAGGTGGGCATCCTCTACGAGCCCATTTATCTCGTCCGTTTCTCGAGTTGTTACAGGCGCTAACAGTCTCTAAGCCATTATTCAGCTCAGAGAGTGGTAGCGCCTGTAACCACACAGCCACACATAGAAACGGACGCGATAACTAGGCCGGTTTAGACCCGAGAACCATCCCCCCCCCCCCCCCCCCCTCTGCAGCAGTCGAAGGGGCCACAGATCTGTCTCAGTGGAAAATGTAGAAAACCATTTCCATCGTGAATCGTGCCTTTGGAGGGGCGTTCAAAGAGGCACAATTGAAAGGATATAGTGGCCTGAGAAAACTCGGAGAAAATTACTTTTTTATCTACTCGGAGAGAGCTCACAACCTGAGACCTATACGGGGATGCTTAAAAGAGCGGTAAAGTCCGGTATCAGCGAGGTGAAGGAGGTTAGGGCAGCTCCGAATAGGTGCTCGTTCGATGAATGTGACAAAATGCTGGTATCTTATGCAAATGAAAGTGCCTTAGGACGTTTGAAGGCATATAAAGTAGATAAATGATGCAGCAAAGAAGTAAGGCGATCAGTGAACTTTGATCAAGAGCAAACACCATGAAAGGTACACCACTCCATTGAAAGGGATGAGACGGTTTGGAATTATCATGGACTCGGAGAATGTTTTTCAGTTCGCAACCCAAGTCACTATTTAAGGAGTCAGATTGTCACGAGAGGCGCTTGAAATGTTTCAAATATAAAAAGGAAGTAGTTGAACTGCATCTTCAATCTCTTTCGGCATTTTTTCAGCCGCATAGGAAAAGCTCGTCACTTTGATTATTGTATAACCAGGTGGCCACGCACGCTATCGCGTGCGTTAGGGGCTCTAGCCACGAGGGACGGAGCCACGTGAGCTAATCTTCGTTATAGACCTTTATCGAATTTATGAGTTCCCGCTCGAACCCCGCCCACCGTGGGCCGAGTCTGGTTTTCCCACCCACCGTATGTGTTCCCATCCCACCGCTTATACTCCCTCCAACTTTGAACTTTCTAGGTCCACGGTACAAGGGCTATGATTTTCCAAAATGTTTTCATAGAGCATTGCATTTTTGGAGAACGCCCTGCCCATCGGGGGTGGACCTCCCCAGTTTGATCTAACCTACTAATGCACACCTCCAGCCACGTTCAAACCCCAGTTTTGAAGTCGTCTTGTGACTGAATTCGAAATCACGGTCCTCAGCACGGCTCATTTCGTTGCACGCCACGCCCAATTTGGGCGGGGCTCCGCCAAGCTGATGTGTGCTTCACAGATCTGAAGTAGCTAAGGAATTTCGTGACAGACATACAGACAGACGACAGAC